TAAGGCCGGACTCGGCAGCATGCAAAATGGTGTGTTTGTTGACATCTCTGAAAAATCGATAGCGAGAGGTGGAGTCACGCATCGATCGATGAGAGACGGTGGCGAGCGGGGAGCGGGGAGCGGTGAGCGGGCCAACGCGTTCGCTATCGTTTTTTGAGAGATGTCAACAAACACACCATTTTGCATGCTGCCGAGTCCGGCCTTCCGCTCCTCCGTGCACTTATTGGCTCAGACGTTTTTCTGAATTCGGCCGATAATAATTATGATTTTGTAAAATTTTATATAACTTTTCTTCTCAGTTTAACCCAATCTACTATAATCTTTGGGATTGTCCATATCGAATCTGACACCCTGTATATAATAAGTGTAAATATAAAATAATATATGTAATAAAAATATATAATAATAAATATAAATCAATGAGTAAAAGGGGCTAAGAGCCTTGACTAGGTGTTAGTGTCAAAAGGTACAAATTTTGTTTATTAAAACATAAAAATTACAAAATGTAAAAGTCAATGATTAAAATTCGCTCGCAACGCAATATTTAAGAAAGATGTAAAGTGTGAAATGTCGACTGGTAGTCGACCATTACCTTTACAATAATTATAAATGAACAATTATACACTTAAAAAAATTTGTCATATGAAAGCATGTATAAATCTATAAAATTATACAGAACTGTGAAGAATTGTGTATAGTTATATAGAAATATAAAAAATCGATAGCGAGAGGTGGAGTCACGCATCGATCGATGAGAGACGGTGGCGAGCGGGGAGCGGGGAGCGGTGAGCGGGCGAACGCGTTCGCTATCGTTTTTTGAGAGATGTCAACTAACATACCATTTTGCATGCTGCCGAGTCCGGCCTTCCGCTCCTCCGTGCATTTATTGGCTCAGACGTTTTTCTGAATTAGGTAGATAATAATTACGATTTTGTAAAATTTTATATAACTTTTCTTCTCAGTTTAACCCAATCTACTATAATCTTTGGGGTCGTCCATATCGAATCTGACACCCTGTATAATTTATACATAATTATGCATGAAAAATTTTTTACCGAGGTGTCTAAGCAGAAAAACCGAAAATTGCGTAAACTTAAGATGCGACCTGCGAAAGAGATGAGTAGGTTTACATCTATGTTATTAAGAACACTTTAATTACTCTCGTAATCTTCGTGCAAATTGCAACGAAATTGATGCTTGCCGCACGTACACTTCCGTGTTTCATTGTGTTCCGTTGTTTACTCACGATCTAGAAATAATCGTGATTGCAATTGGACACTTTCACATTTAATGGCAGGAAATTATTCACGGCTGCTTTCGCTGTGAAACAGCGAGGCGATGTCCGTAAAAGTACCGTGTCGTTTTAAACCGGTAGACGTGCAGTCGCGATTTAAC